AAGTTTATAAATTGCCTGGCTGAGCTGATGAGACAGTGGATTGCGCAGTGAGATGGAACAGAGTAAATAGGCATTTTAACGTAATAGAGTTTGCCTGAGGTAACTTGTGGAATAGACAACGGCTGGAATGCGCTTTTAACCAATCAGCATTCAGGATTAGACCTACCTGCTGTATAATAAGTATTATAAACTGGGTGATTCGAGCCCTGAATGCTGATTGGTTGACAGCCGTGGCATATCAGACCGTATACCACAGGTATGACAAAACATGTATTTGTACTGCTCTAATTATGTTGGGAACCAGTTTATAATAGCAATAAGACACCTTGGGGGTTTGTGGTATGTTGCCAATATACCACGGCTAAGGGCTGTGTATCCTTCATGATACAAGACTGCCTCGTGTGCCATATTGCTTTTATAAAAGTGTTCAACAAAAAAAAATCATGACGAATTACATATTTTCATTCAAACGTTATTTTGATAAGTCAATTCATACAATTTCATTTTTCCACCACATGATTTAGTCTGGACAAAACTCTGGTTTTTAGTTCGTTTGGTCATGCTGCTACAGACGCGACCCAGTTGTTCATTCTTTTTGCAAAAAGACTAGTCGTCCGTTCTAAACAAAATGATTGCTATGCAGGCTTGATAATGTTCTTGTCACTTGCCAGCTAGCTAGCCAACTTCAGCTAACTCAGTCACGTCAAACATTGAACCTGGAGTGACAGTACACTAGCTGCATTTTCGTTTGTTTGAGCTTTTTTCCTATTGTCATTTAATTCGATATTTCCATGATAATGACGTTGATGCGTGATTTCGACTGGCTCAGAAAAAGTTGTCTTGTCTCGTCTGGGCACAGTTCACTCTATGTATGGTACTACAGAGATATACATTCAAAAGTGAAACATTGCTTCCGAGGTCTGACAGCCAGATAGTGAGGCTTATATTAACATTAACCCCCGCTGTACAAAACTAAATTCTACATTTACATTACATTTTACAGACCATGAGAACCAAATTCTAGGCTGGAAGCAAGTGGAAATAATGTGCCAGTTGAGATAAATACAAGAGATGATTCGGACACCAACATGAACATGATATTCTTATGGAGGCACAGTGATAATTTTCATATGGAACTGTTAGCAGGCATAGGTGTGTCTGTGACACCAATACAGCATGGCTTGGAACACTGTTCGTCCAATCAACATCCAGGATCCAAACAACCACTTTTATCAAATGAATATAATGAATGATAGAATGTAGGTGTGTGCGTGTGTGACTGTGTGTCTGTGTGTCTGTGTCTCTATGTCTCTATGGCTGAGGTGTGAGCTGACAGGTTGTTTCTCTATACAGTGCCTTTGAAAGTATTCAGACCCCTTAATTTTTTCCCACATTTTGTTATATTACAGCCTTAATCTAAAATGGATTAAATAAATAAAAATCCTCAGCAATCTACACACAATACCACATAATGACAAAGTGATAAAAAAATAAAAAAATAAAATAACAAGTAAACCTTATTTAGATAAGTATTCAGACCCTTTGCTATGAGACTCGAAATTGAGCTCAGGTGCATCTTGTTTCCATTGAGCATCCTTGAGATGTTTCCACAACTTGATTGGAGTCCACCTGTGGTAAATTCAATTGATTGGACATGATTTGGAAAGCACACACCTGTCTATATAAGGTCCCACAGTTGACAGTGCATGTGAGCGCAAAAACCAAGTCATGAGGTGGAAGGAATTGTCCGTAGAGAATTGTCCGAGACAGGATTGTGTCGAGGCACAGATCTGGGGAAGGGTACCAAAACATTTCTGCAGCATTGAAGGTCCCCAAGAACACAGTGGCATCCATCATTCTTAAATGGAAGAAGTTTGGAACCACCAAGACTCTTCCTAGAGCTGGCCACCCGGCCATTCTGAGCAATCGGGGGAGAAGGGCCTTGGTCAGGGAGGTGACCAAGAACCTGATGGTCACTCTGACAGAGCTCTAGAGTTCCTCTGTGGAAATGAGAGAACCTTCCAGAAGGACAACCATCTCTGCAGCACGCCACTAATCAGGCCATTATGGTAGAGTGGCCAGACAGAAGCCACTCCTCAGTAAAAGGCACATGTCAGCCCGCTTGGAGTTTGCAAAAGGCACCTAAAGACTCTCAGACCATGAGAAACGAGATTCTCTGGTCTGATGAAACCAAGATTAAACTCTTTGGCCCGAATGCCAAGCGTCACGTCTGGAAGAAAACTGGCACCATCCCTACGGTGAAGCATGGTGGTGGTAGCATCAATGGGAGAGACTCCCCAAATACAGGTGTGCCAAGCTTGTAGCGTCATACCCAAGAAGACTCAAGGCTGTAATCGCTGCCAAAGGTGCTTCAACAAAGTACTGAGTAAAGGGTCTGAATACTTATGTAAATTTGATATTTCAGTTGTTTTTTAGTATTTTTTTTTTTTTATAAATTAGCAAACATTTCTAAAAACCTGTTTTTGCTTTGACATTATGGGGTATTGTGTGTAGATTGATGAGGAGGGAAAAAACAATTTAATCCATTTTAGATTAAGGCTGTAACGTAACAAAATGTGGAGAAAGTCAAGGGGTCTGAATACTTTCCGAAGGCACTGTATGTCCTTTTTCTCAGTAGGAGAGCAGTCATCTGTTGTCTGTGTGTCACCCTGCTGTTTCAGCTAGAGGTATGACTACAGTGTGTGTGTGTGTGTGTGTGGTGTGTGTGTGTGTTGTGTGTGTGGTGTGTGTGTGTGTGTGTGTGTGTGTGTGTGTGTGTGTGTGTGTGTGTGTGGTGTGTGT